GACATGCCAGACATAGCATCCGGTACCAAAATGTAGAAGAGACATATAGGCGAGGCGAAACTGGTCGGAATGTTAAATCCTTAAGGCATATTTCCAAACCCAGGCGCGAAAACCCGTAAAATAATCACACGAGGAGAAAGTTAAGCGTATTTATTGTTTGCCCATCACATTCCAGAGTGAGATACAAGACGCTGACACATGATATGTCACGCATGATGGGACGTAATAAGGGAAGAATATCTCCTGTGAAGTAATCTGGAGGCAATATCTGGACATTCCTCGATGCATTACACATGTCTTGTAGGTGCGCGTCTCCCACAGAGGTGCCATTGTGAATACATGGCGTGTGGTGGAGTCGAGAAAGAGCGATTTAGTGTTCCTACGGAAGGCACTTGCGTCTATACTATCGTTGGTAGGTTCGTGACTCCTATGAGATACCAAATACGATCTAGAGAATGCTGTCTCATGACGCTCATCCAGATGGCGATGAAAAATTTGATTCCAATACCGGATGGATATTACAGGGCCACCTGTCTATAGCATGTGATAACAATGTCAGATTTAGGGCGAAAACACGGGTACCACAATTATCCGGCGCAATTAATGAATACTGTCACGAGGTCTGCGAGGAGATGCAAAGATTGATCGCTTTAGCAGGTAACCCAGGTTTGGAATGTTCGCTATTTATAGATACGTAGAATTCAGGCAGTGGCGCAGCAACTACTTTCGCCGCGGTGGTAAAATTTCCGCCCTCCTGGCAGTTGTAAATCCGCAAAACCCTCAAAGTCAGCTTAAGGTAACGTGCTCATTAATTTTCGATAAAATGAATGATAGTTGGGGACACTGAGGTAAATGTGGTGAAAGTAACCAAATGGGACAAGTATGTTGCTTGGAAGAACGGTTGGTGCAGGTGTGAGATGTGGTGCAAAGGTGTTGTTGGTCATACACAGCACACATTATATAATATTCAGCCCGCAGCTTATCTGGAAATATTGCATTTTATATTTGGTATCGAACAATCAACACAGGTACTACAAGTGGTACGCACAATGTAGAAGTATCGACACGAAGTTTGCGGGTTGACTCAGAGATTGGTCGCCCTACCAATCAACGCAGATTTGGTAAACTGTCTACTTATAGATATTTGGAAGCCGGAGATTCTTTCCTTTGCAATCAATAAACGATGATAGCAAAACACAGCGGAATAGGACACGAATGGAAGGTACAAAAACATCGTAATCATCCAGCACAATGACTGTTGGGTTGATGAGTCACTGGCTTGCTGATTATTCATTGTCAAAAATTAATTCAGATATTACCTTGTTTGATAGCGTGACTGCGTGTCGGGGAAGGCGAGGTCACTGATCATCAAGAAACTTCACATGATGGGGTGAAATCTCCATGACCACCACTAAATGAGAGTGGAGGATCAATACAAGAGTATTGAAATAGGTACAAACAGTGTGAGATAGTAGCTTATCAGGGGATCTAATACAAAGTGCGATTGTGAACCGCAGTGGTACTCCCTCGGGGTTTCTGCCAGACAGAGGCAATTTTCCATAGAAACTGATTATTCAAAGACGAGCGATCTTTAATTCCTATCACCACATATCCGTCCGTTTACGTACAAGCTACCATCTCGCTAATTTTGCTATTCAAGAACCCCAAGTTTTTGAACACGAGGGTAGATACTTCTAGACTGGTTTTGTATATGCTTGTTCGAAAGTGTGGCATCCAAGTATCTGCTCCAATCGGTTAGCCTCCTGAGTAGTTACCCACAAGAAGCGGTCCAATTAAAGATTCGAGAAAATGCAATCTCAACTAGCGATGTGGTCAATCATTCTCATGGTTAGTGTGTGCAGAAAAGGTCCCAATGAACCTATGGATAGAACAAACCATGGACATGCTGTAACGTGTGGTCAACTTCCGTGTATAGGCGTGAGCGTTTGGATTTTAGTATCTAATCTTAGTTGGGCTCGTCTTCCTGGTTCCTACGACTTTCTTCAAACCATACACATCCTTGCTCACAACCTAGCACCCAAGCACAGAACCGTAGGGCATCACTGCCTCCTTCCGACCTACGTGTGAGCGTAGACCACCCGATTCTGTGATAGGCATACATCCACTTGTCATGATTCACAGGATAGATCTCGGTTCAGCGCGAAAATTGTGTTGTGTTTGTCAAGTGGCCCTCCGTGCATCAAAAAGTCAAAGTCTGGGCCTCGATCAGAAATTCATTATTAATAGAACGCAAACTCCTTTTATATCTCGAACCAGTTAGAATCACTCACAGATGCAGAACAAATCTCCTTCCTATCACATTCTTGGCCAGCGTACGAGCTTCGTTCAATGTCGATCCAAATCAATTGCATGCTATCCTTCAGTTCGTCTCTACAGCGATCGACCAGCTTTCAGACCGCTGACCCAAAATCGTTAAGCTCGACCGATCGCTAAGCGACGGGCATCTAAGTGTAGTATCTTACCACCTCATCCTTTCTATTTTCATAGTTCTCGTGTTGCAGCTTCCGTATTGTCTTCCACTGCGGGAGAGCTTCCAAACTTGGGCTATGATCTTAGTTGGCTTGTTCTGGAGAGCCGGTTTCTGTTCAGAGTGAAGAGACTGTCCACCGCAACGCCTTTTTAGCCGCACTCGATAGCATCCATTCCTTTCCCGACTCTCAGCTGCTCTTCCCTTCTGATGTCCTTCAGCTCTACGCATCCGTTTTAAATATACTTCCTCTCCAGATTCTAGAGATTGAGTGCATCTTGAATACTGAATACTGGTTAGAAGCAGCGAGTAGAGCTTGCTCTGCGTAGCTGCATCAGTCGTCACTCATGGACAAATACCCGTTATATTGTGTTCCGCTCGATATATTTTGTGTCGGCAAAGTGTTTGTCCAGGAAATTCTTAAATTCCGACACCGAGTTTGCCTCTACTACGTGCTGTGCCAGATCGTTCCATACATTTAGCACTCTGCGTTCGAAACAGAGTTGGTGAGTGACCCGTTTCAAATCCGGTACGACAAGCTTATACCGGTGTCCTCGTGTGCTGCTTGGTTTGCGCAGATGAAGCAGCAACGCACTCCCTCGGTGCCCTACTGGGGATCGAACCCATGACTGCTAGAGGCAGATGCCAACTAGCTAGCAGCTTAAGCCACTGAGCCATGGGGGACTTTTTGGGTTCGAACCCGGGGCCTTTCATATGCAAAGCGAACGCTCTACCGCTGAGCTACATCCCATCAAAAGTTTTAGAATCGCTGTGAAACGTGGCAATCACCGATAGTGATTCTGCGTCAGGTTTCCTGTAGTTCTTCCTTCGGTAGGACTGCTCCAGGTTTCTTGGCCTGAACTGATGACAAACATCTTTCTTGTGGTCTGTGTTTGTGATGCGTTGCTTTCCACTGTAATCGCTTTCGAAGATGGTCTCGCCAACCATTAATATAAATAACCACAGATTTCAAATTTACAATGGCTCCATGATCAGCTTTTGGTGGTAGTGGTTGTCCTTGAATCGATGATGTCCCAATAATCTGTCCAATCTCTGCGCGATCCCACTTGTTATTTAATGAAATCTTATACTTTTCTTGCCGACTTTCAATGTTAGGTGAGCTAACTTTAGGCGTTCGACAGCAGCGAGTGAAGAGGTCCGATCGGCCTTCACAATAAGCACCAAACCCCTCGATCATTACTGAAAGATCCGATTCCTGGTCATAATCGCAAAAGTTCCATGCATCTAATATCCGTCCCGCATCCACACCGATGTAGTACCTGAACATCGCTAATTGATATGATCCCGGATATTCATCTAACTCGATCGGTGTAACGAAATCCATCCATCCCGCTTTCCACACCCCCCAGCTATCCGGTAATGTGCTTTTTGTCATTTGTAGAGGATGCGGCAGTGGGATCAATGATTGTTCATCAAAGGCGAGCGGGGTTTGGTACGTCAGCACCTCTGTCACCATGTCAAGTGGCCCTCCGTGCATCAAAAAGTCAAAGTCTGGACCTCGATCAGAAATTCATTATTCATATAAGGCAAACTCATTTTATATTTCGAGTCAATTACAATCACGCACAGATGCAGAACAAATCTCCTTCCTATTACATTCTTGACCAGCGTTCGAGCTCCGTTCAATGTTGATCCAAATCGATGGCATGCTATCCTTCAGTTCGCCTCTGCAACGATCGATCAGCTTTCAGACTGATGGCCCAAAATCGTTAAGCTCAACCGATCGCTAAGCGACGGGCATCTAAGTGTAGTATCTTACCATCACACCTACTTCTTGTTGTATGGTCTTACTAGAGTCAGTGCCGGATGTGAAACGTGTTCCCCACCCACTGTTCTTCGAACGGAGAGTGGTAAACATTTGGAACAGTTTACCTGAACATGTGATGGAGGCAACATCTGCGCAGCAGTTCAAAACGTTGTTAGATTTATATTCTAGCACTATTCAATTCAGAGAACGATTGCACACTTACGATGACATATCACATTTGTGAGTCCTGCAATACCGTGAGTCAGATATTTTAAATGTTACATGAGAACGACAACGACATTCACGGTTGACAACTTTTATAATGTTTTTCACCATATTTTGAAAGAGTTGTACAGAATTCATTTCTACTTGCAGTATGCCGATAACTGAGAGAACTCTGTTTAATAGTTTCCAATCGCCTTGGCTTCCTGGTGTCTGAAGTGTCAGTTTAACGCCAAGCTGGTTTACATTGTACGGAGCATTGTATTTGATGTCAGTCAGGATATAGTTTGTGTATTGACGAAAGTTGCGTACTCTACCGCTTGTGATACGAGCCGAATACCGCGTTATATTGAGCTGTAGTTCCACAAGGCCAAGCAAAAAAATGCCGCGGCCTAAGGTGCGTCAAGTTTTAGTGACATTCGGGGCTGCAGCTTACGCGTAGGAAAGCAACCCAACAGCTAGCTACTGCAATGGACAACATATGCCACTACCAAGTGGTGCCTCAAAATAAATAGCAAAAGTCAGCTTGTGAGAGCGTTTATATTGGTAACGGTAAAGCATCAACAACAGAATGGCATTTATCGTAAAGTTTTGCGTACTGCTCATCCCGAACCAACATCAATGCCGGCACGGGAGTCGTCGATGAAATGCTAGCACCAAGATCCATTCTGGAGGGGACGTAGCAGTATGGGATGCGATTCTCCTCACAGATAATCGGCAAGTGTGTGATTGAATCCATAGGGCTCACATCAGCGGCAAGAACGACGATTCCCATAGTCTTCTTCTTTTCTATTGCCTTAATGATGGACTTAATTCCACAGTCAGCCTTCTTACATCGCTTCGCTTTCCGAGCTAATTTGTATAAACGCGAAGTAAGTTTTTCACTGGCAATGGGTTGAGCAATCGGAATAGCGAATTTTAATTTCTCCTCGTAAGAGAGTTCCTCCTGGACTACTTCAACATCAACATCATCAAGCGGAGGCATTAAAGGTGGGAGAAAATGGAGAAATCACCAACAATGATTCACGGAGAAAGTTTTAATATGCGTCCGTTAGAGGATTCTGAAGGTTTCTGTGTCCAACGCGCACGTAGGTCGTAAGAGACCTTGGGGCTGCAATGAAAAGCAAACAGCTCGTAGATGGTTAAGTGAAATAACCACTACCCCTAGTAAGAGGCCAAGCGGGAAGAAACATTATACGAACCTGGATGCCGCTGTCACAGCTGCCGAGGGGATGGAGTCTGAGCAGAATGGAAAATGAGGGTAAGCCAGGGAAATGGTCAGTCCAGTAGTATTATAAACTAGGTGAGATGGTAAAGAGAACATAAGACAATAATGGCCGTCTAGTCGAGATGGTCCGTCTCATGATAAGTTCAAGGTCACGTGGGACTAGGACCATAGAAGAATCCCGTGAATGTTCCTACTCGAGCAGATCGTTGAGCTAAAAGTTGGTAAAGTGCTCCGAGGTCCTGATGGATCTAAAACAAAACATACGAAGTATATCCTAGTCAACCAATTACTGTCCGCGTTTTCTACACTAGCAGTCCCCACAGTGTCAGTTAAGTGAAGTTAGCAAGAGATGGGAAGACAAATGGAGAGTAAAAAGCAAGGTCACTTGAAAAGGAGAATATCAGTGTGTGAGGGAAAGTACACAAGAAAATCAAAGTAGAAAGATGGGAGTAAGTCAGAATGGAAAAGTTCCGTGTTGCCATCCAGGAGCATCTAGTCGCCTCCCAAACCCTTTAATTGTAGTTTCCCTGACAACAGTCTCTGGAACCGAGTTCCAGCACTCAATGACTTGGTGCGACAGCCGAATTTCCGCCCTAATCTGATCTGATCATGATTTGTCCAGGTACGTAGAAGGCCCGCGGATACCAGACAATCAGCGAGACTGAACAGCAGGATAAATCTGGGCCAACCACACCAGTTAAAATACGGTAGAGGAGGATTAGGCGTCCTCGAATCCTTCGGCAGTGCAGTAAGTGCATTCTCAGAATAAGTAAGTGAACGGGGCACATTTGTCCCCATAATGCCTTGACCAAGCTAATATCTACCCGCATAACCTTCTCCAGTCTCATTTTGTCCCGGATGAGGTAGGGTGGACGAGCCTGGATGCAATATTCCAGAGGAGAACGAAGGAAAGTTGAGATTTTCACAAAAATATCGGCCGTCAAGATTCCGGAGAAACGGCGGAGTTACCACAATATATGGAACCTTCTACTTAAGGCTACTTCCGGTTGTCGCCCGAGTGTAAAGTCGAAGAGTATATGACGTCCAGATCAGCCTGGTTAGATACACGGGGGAGTTCGACACAACAGACCAAGTACCTGAAAAAGTGACAACCAGCGGAGTAGCAACCACTTTTACCGCCTGGGAAAGTGGTAAGTTGCGCCCTGATTGAGGGCAGAATAGGTGCGTGAAGGTAATACAATCGGCTCAGAAGAAGAAGGCATCAGCAGTACGTCGGTTCGCTTCGCTGCCGCAGAATCACCATCGGTCGCACGTGGACTAATACTTCGAGCGTCGCCCTGCCCCACATGCAGGCTCGAACCCGCGCCGTCAGATTACAAGACAAGCTTGTTACCTTTATGTTACGGGCTGACACAGAGCAAAGTGCACATTAGTTTTCGATGAAATGGATGATCGTTTGGGACACTGAGGTAAATGTGATGAAAGTGATCACAATGGGACAAGTAGGGAGATCGCTAGAAAGAACGTTTGCACAGGTGTGTCACGTGGCGCAAAGGTGTTGTTGGTTTCACGGTAAAAGATTCAACCCCCAGCTCATTGGAAAATTGTGCTCTTTATATTTGGTATCGAGCAAGTAACTGTGTCAAAAATGCCGCACCGACACATACCGCCAGGGGCAGACCACTCCCGCCTCCCTAGCTACGACTTGGGGACCAGTACACTTAATCGAAAAACGGAACACTGCCTGATTTATGGACAGTGGTTATAAAGCAGACCAGTCCCAGAGTCTATCTAAGGCACGCTGCATAGCCTCAGGACCACCAGGAACATCTACAATATTCCGAAGCTTCGGGTCATCAGCAAATAATAGCGATATCTCAAGCTCCACAGGTAGATCGTTCATAAAGATAGAGAACATCAGTGGTCAAGGGATCAAGCCTTGAGGCGCGTAACTGAAGACAGACTGCCTAAACGATAGACTGCAGCCAACGCGTACACCTCTTTCTTCCTTCCAAGAAATTAGACATTGAGTGAAGGACGCGACCAGACACACCGTAGTTCGGCTTTCGCGGTAGAAACCGGTGAAGCGCCGTGTCAAATGCTTTCGAAAAATCCGCGAACAACATATCCAGTGCGTGGCCATTGTCTACTGCATTAGCTGAACTTCCATGAGATAATTCTATGAGATACCAATAAATACAAGAAATAAAAATCCCCTTTTGAATCCATGCTGTGCATTGCTAAGTAGATTAGATCTATTCAGTGTATCCAGGAGTTTGACTATTACACTAGTCAGGCTAACTGGTCTGTAAATAGTAGGTAGACTCCTGTAGCCATTTTTGAATATATATATATATATATTTGCAAAAGTCTGTTAACAGACATAATGCCATCAGAAACCATGGGATTCAAACGAAGGTACAGAAACAGTAAAATAAAACACAACACAACAATGTCCATGGTTTCCTCAGAGGGCGAGATACTACCCGGTTGCCCAAGCCGAAGTAGGGTGTTGACTTAGGGGACACCACCCCGAGCCTTTGACTTAATAGCCTGCCCGCAAGGCAGCGGAGCGAATTCAGGGAATCGCGCCCATTGGGAGCCGGTGACTGATTGCTCAGTTCATACGCCTTTCGTTTGTTCCTTTGTCAAACAGGGGCCCAATGCTCCCTAGAAGTACAGCATAAGATTGCTGGAATACAATGCTTCGCCAGGATGAAGCAAGGGGCAGTGACTTTATTTAGTGGCGAGTCACGTCCGCCACGTCACAGTGTTGTTAAACGGACATATGTGGCTTTTTATAGGGAGAACGCTTGCCAGGCGAAAACCCACCACGTCCTGGAACACTGCCGCCGAACCATTTGCTGGAACGGGAAAATCCCGAACCACCCAGCTGGCACCACGAGGAGGTTGTTCGGCAAGCCAGCCGAATAAAGGATAGATGACAGCTTCCCAACATTCGGAAGGTAATGCACAGTCGTCAAGCGAGTTCCGAAAGACGATAACGAATTTCTCAGTCAAGTCGTGTTAATTATATTAAAAAGGTAACAGCAGTACGCAGGTATGCCGCTCGTTCTGAAGCGCTTGCGTCGACGCTGACCATGCAATGGTACGCTGTCGGATTTCCATGAAGGTTACTGGGGACGTACCAAGCGTCTTCTATGAGAAATAATCTGAGAAATAACCTGTCGTCGGTCAAACAAGATTACCAGGATACAGTGAATACCGTACTTCCGCTCTATCGCCCTAATGACACTGAGCTTCAATAGAATAAGATCTCGGCTGCCATGCACAACGCAGGAACATCTGCCTGTGACACTATCAATCGTCATCGCACCAGTCACTGGATATCCGTGAAATTGGTGAACCGGTTGGAACCCAGAAGAAAACTCACGGCCCGCTCAGATCACGATGTAGCAAGGCGGGCTACTAGGCACAAACTATAGTGGTTCCTCCGGGCTAACTATGAAGTCTGATGGATTAGTAGAGCTCAAGAAATGGAGGAGACGGGAACAATAGGCAATTATCGCAACAATGGCCCCCCTGAAACTAGGCATCAGCGAAACAATCAGAGACACCGAGGGTGCCCTGATTCAGTATAAGGGGATCCGGTTGGCTCCTTGTGCGTAGCACTATCGCTAGCCCCTGTACCTGGAGGTTTTATTATTCAGATGGTGCAGGCTAAGCCACGGTCGGTAAATTTTGTGGCCTCATCGTAGGCTGAAGTACGATACGCGACTGCAGCCCTTAAGCGTTTTCGCGCAGCTGGCCCCGGGTTCCTTCTCATCTGCACTATCTATGTTCCTCTATGGAGCACGGACCTCCCTGGTCGAAGATGTCCAGAAGGAAGAGACCATCGCAGCTGACCAGAGTGAATCCATTATAACGGCAATATACAAGGTAATCATACAGACTGCGCTAACCAGTTGCGACAAAAGTACTTGCCTCGAATCTCATTGGTCATCTCACTGCAGTACGGCAATCCCGAAGTATGGAAGAGCAGGCACGTTTCCGCTCTGGACTGGGCTGTATAGACCATATATTCACTATGCGGCAAGTGTTAGCGCAGCGCCCCACATACCGCAGACCGACAATACCTGTTTGGCGACTTCCGGCATGCGTTCGACTCAGTCGATCGGTACATTCTGTTCGATATACTCGTGCGGAATGCTGTTCCCATGAGATGTGTAAACATTTTTACGCGCCCTGTACTCGGACACCACAGGCCACGGCCTACGATGACTTAACGGATAGCTTCCCGACAACAAGTGGCGTTCGTCAGGGCTATCCAATTTCTCCATTTTGTTCAATTTCATTGTGGACTCCATCATGTAGTTTATTTGCTCAGCCTTAGGCGTTGAGGTGTTGTGTGGTGAATAGCTAATTGATCTTGATTATGCGAACGATATCGTCCTGCTGTTTAACGATGTTACAACGGGGCAATCAACCCTGAATAACCTCTCAATAACGTTCTGATTATTTGGCATGCGCTTCGCACCTTCAAAGGGCAAGGTGTTGTTACTAGACAAGCAGCCACTTGTTGACCGTTGTTAGTGAGGAACTCGAGGTAGTCGATCAAATAATTTACGTTGGCAGATACATCGGTAACGATTGGCGCAAAACCACCGAAGTCAGTTCATTTATTGGAAAAGTCAGAACTGACTTCTTAAATGTGCGATATCCGTGGTGTTGCGCTGTTTGCGCGCCGGGAGTGTGGATGGAAGAAGAGGAGAAGTGACCAAACGATGACTTGGTCGAGAGGAATGAAGGCCCTCACTTCGAACCTGGCCTCGGTTTGGGTCCGAAAGAAAAAGAACACGTTTCACTGGATACACTTGCTGACATGGCTAGAAGCCGATCTCAATGGTGTTCGTGTTGTGAGTTTTTTGTCCCTTCCCATCCCTCTCAGTCTCCCCCTCCAACCA